TGTTCATTAGGATGACAACCACCTTCTCCCTATGGGAAGAGAGTAACAAGCCGTGACATGCGCTGCCTATCAGAGGCCGGAACGCCTTTTACTGGCTGGCTTACTGCTTTGTCTGAAGCCACATTATGTCCAGCTGAACTGACAAACAGCTTTGTCCTTACCAACTTTCCTCCATGACGCTGCAGACGCTCTCATACATTCACTTTGCAGACCAGCAGCACAGATCGTATTATGTTCTAAGAATACAAAGTGTCATTTACAGGTCTGAGGGGTTAATGCGGACAGGAGACTCTTTCATCCGCTGTCCTGTGACGAAACAGATGGTGTCCATCCAGAATGGGTCTAAGTGATGAATATCTACTTCAACCAAGTGCCAATATCTCTAGATCTACTGAGCGGTAGGATAAACTAAAACTGCCAACACTCACATTTATTCCAGGGTTTAAATCTTGACGCATCCCCGCGTCCCGACCCTCTCCCTTCTTGTCCTTTAGGGTTCATGTACACTGCAGCTGATAAACGCACGTTTAGGAGCTTTTCTGCGTTTTTTCCAGCAGCCCCTGAACTCCCTAATGTTTTCCTATTATTATTTCTATACAGGATTTATATGGCGCCAACAGTTTGCTCAGCGCTTTACAATATAACGGGAGACGATACAGCAACAATACAGTTTAATACAAGAGGGATAGGAGGGCCTGATCCTGGGAGCTTACAATCTAGGAACTGTCCATGTACACTATGTCGTTGACAGTCGTTTTCAGTAGATTTTATCAGCGTTTCAAACGCCAAATGCTTGTAAACGCGGCTAACCGCGTTTATAAGCGTTTGCGTTTAGAATTGTTTTTTTAACTGTTCCATATCCAGATGCTGTCCAGAGCCTTTTTTCATCATAAGAAATGCATGCAAAGCGTTTTCCATGTATTCAAATGGACCCGGTACACCAGCACAGTCAGTTCCAGGTTTTGCATGAAGGAAAAGATGGTAGAACGTGCTGCATTATGCTCATGATGGGATCCATAGTGAATACAACCAGAAAAGACAGCTAACCTCAACACATACTGCTCTCTCTGCTTCTGCTCTCTGTATTTCTCTCAAAATGTCTGAAATCGTTAATTAATTACTGTTTTTGAGTGCATTCTGTGCATTTTGGAAGGTCTCTTGAGGTTATCTTAAAAAAAAAAACTTCTAAACACAAATGCTCATAAACGGGTATGCAAAGGTGGCTAAACAGACGTGTTTTTTTTAACCTACATTCTCCAGCAGTCAGTTTCCATCGTTCAGAAGTGTTTTCCAAATGTCCCGTGTACATGGAGCCTTACTGTCCCTAATACTGGCATCTCTTTTCTTTCTATATTCTTTTCATCTTTTTTTCTCTTAGTTGGGTTTATATACTGAGTTATACGGAGGTATTTCTTTTTGTTCCTCAAGTCCCACCCAGGGATACCCCCCCCGAAACTGTTTTTTTTTTTTCTGTGTTTTCTGTGTGTGTGTGTGTATGTGTGTATATATATATATATATATATATATATATATATATATATGTGTGTGTACAAATGTTGTCGATCCTTTTCTCTTTTCAATGTTTGGAACTATTTATATTTACTCTCGTGGATCATCTCCTCATTCGTGATTTCTGTATATTTATTTATTGGCATGTATATGTTATCGCTATTCCTTTTACTCTATCTTGTAAAATTTAATGCAAAAATGCAATAAAGACAAATTTGCCTTTAAATCTTGAAGCATATTTCCACTTTTGCAATCAAATTTGAGAAAACCCCACTATATCTTTGCTATGTGCTCCTATTCACACAGCATGCCTAAAAATGTTCTGTTTTAAATATTTTTTTACCTTTTGAATGTTTCCCAAGTGGAAAGTTTTTTTGTTTTTTTTGAACAATGTTAGAGCGAGCCTGTCCCAAGTCTGTTCTCGTTAACATACAATGCAAGAAGCCCCACCTGTACATCTTTAACGCTTTGTTAGGACAGACCATTTTCAAATCTAGTTCATAATTGGGGTTTGTACAGTACACAGAGGGTTAAAGGATAAGTTCACCCTTTGGACAAAAACAATAAATGCACACATTTTTTTTACAGGTAACAAAATGTGCATTTATTATTCGAATCCCAGCCACAGCACCTCCTGCCTGGAGTTTGCATGTTCTCCATGTGCCTGCGTGGGTTTCCCTCCGGGTACTCCGGTTTCCTCCCACACCCCAAAGACATGCTGGTAGGTTAATTGGATCCTGTCTAAATTGTCCCTAGTATGTGTATGTATGAATGTAAGTTAGGGACCTTAGATTGTACACCCCTTGAGGGTTAGGGACTGATGTGAATGTACAATATACATGTAAAGTGCTGCGTAAATTGACGGCGCTATATAAGTACCTGAAATAAAGAAATAACCAATTTGCTCCTGCAGGGGGGAAAATTCCTTCCTGATCCCCCGAGGGGCAATCGGATATTCCCTGGATCGACTTTACCTATAAATGTTAGTATAACACACACTTCTGACGCACTGAATCTACTGAACCAAAATATGATCAATCAGTGGTAAATCTAAATCACTCACTAAGGCTCCGTGCACACTAGTGTTTTTCTAAGCTCCTAGAAGCTGTTATCAGCATATTTGTCTGCTCCTAGAAGCTGTTATCAGCATATTTGTCTGCTCCTAGAAGCTAAATAATGTTCTCCTATGTGTCTATGCACACTACTTTGGGCCATTAGCACTTTTTGAGCTTCAGTGTCTAGGAACATTGTAGGAAAATTTTAGAATTTTTTTGGAGCGTTTTTCCAGCAGAAAAAAACGCTAAACATTATTAAAATGCTTATAATGGCTTTTTTTTTTTCCCTCTACATGTACTGTTAAAATACTAATGCTCCTAGACACTTCTGAACGCTACTACAATGCTATTAAAAAATGCTATTATGAACGTTTTTTTATTATTATTATTATTATACAGGATTTATATAGTGCCAACAGTTTTGCTCAGCGCTTTACAATATAATGGGAGACAATACAGCAACAATACAGTTCAATACAAGAGGGATAGTAGGGCCCTGATCCTTGTTTTATCCATTTTTTAGCTTACAAAAAACTCTAGTGTGCACAGAGCCTAAAAACTGGTCTGTATTGTGATCAGTTCTCCAGCACACACTGGTTCATTGATTAAAAGTGATTGCCAAAACGTCACCACAGTTAACTGACGCAGCAGAATCAAATTGAATCGAGCTCTCTAGACTGAATGGAGGTCTCTAGTTTGCAATTTCTCTACGTGATTTATTTAGTTGCATCGAACGATTGAATAATGATATAAATACTTGTGTAGCCAACATATTGGAGGCAGTGCGGAGACTGTACAATCAGATTAAAAATATTCATTATAATTTTTTTTTTTACCCTTTTTTTTTTTTCACTATTAGTCTGCTCATTTACATGCAGGCCAAGTAGTAGCGATGCAAACACCAGACTATGGGGAAAAAATGTATTGCTGGTTTTATAGTTTGCTACCTGACCTGACAATAGAAATAAAGGTATATGAAATAAAATCCTATACTTCATATTATCGTCACATGTGTTACCCACATAAAACTATAAATATACAGATTTTTCTATGATGGTAGTCCCAGTTTACTATAGGAAGACGTGTCTCAGAGAAGTGAGTGTACACAAGGTGTCAGATGGGCCAAGCAGGGCGACAATTCAGTGTAGATTTTGCATACCTCTGTGGGATCCCCCTGTCCTTGACAAGGAGCTGCCGGTCCGCTCGTGTACTCCACAGCCTTTGTGATCCTTTTACCTGCGCACTCATTGGACGGACATGCTGTTTGCTACATTCTAAACACAGATTCCGCCTGGAAATTTGCTCCCCATCCATCCATCTGGTTTTATTTATTTTACTCCTTTTATTTCATTTAACTTTGTTCATATTTTGAGATACTTATTCTATATTTTATAGTTATTATTTCCATCGTCTGTGTGAGCGCTGAAGGTTGTTCATTAATTGATGATCATCTTTTATGTCAGATGGGACATGCCAGACAGGCCCTGATGTACAGAGATGACTACAGAGTGTCACAACGGTCTGCGACCACAACTGAATGTGGATTAGCAGGCTCCCCACAGTGTACGCCCCTTCACAATGACTGCACATGGCTGCAAATATAGCAGCTGCTTTTACATACTGGAAACGACACGTCATTAATGAAACTGATTTCTTGAAATGACAGCCAAGTGGGAGCAACAACAGTGATAACCCCATTGGGGTTCATTTACTAAAGGCAAATATACTGTGCACTGCAAGTGCAGTTGCTCCAAAGCTTAGTAAATGCGCTAAAGCTTCACTTTGCAAAGAATACCCAATCACATGCAAGGAAAATAAAAAACAGCATTTTTGCTTGCACATGATTGGATGATAGAAATGAGCAGAGCTTCTCTTCATTTCAGAGCGTCCCCTCAGATCTAGAGCAACTGTACTTGAAGTGCACAGATCTTTTGCCTTTAGTAAATCAACCCCATTGTGTTAGTGGATTCTCCTTGGGCTGTTTAACCCCTCGCCTACAGGGCACGCATACCCCCTTCCTGTCCAGGCCAATTTCCAGCTTTCAGCACTGTCCCACTTTGAATGACAATTGCGCGGTCATGCAACATTGTACCCATATGAAATTTTTATAATTTTTTTGTGACAGAGCTTTATTTTGGTGGTATTTAATCACCTTGGGGTTTTTTTTATTTTTTCTTAAACCAAAAACCACAGAAAATTTTGAAAAAAAATTTTTTTTTCTTAGTTTTTGTTATAAAATTTTGAAAATAAGTGATTTTTTTCTCCTTCACTGATGTGCGCTAATGAGGCTTCACTGATGGGCACTGATACTGATAGGTGGCACTGATGGGCACTGATGAGGAGGCACTGGTAGGTAGCACTGATGGGCATTGACAGGCATCACTGATGGGCACTGAAAGGCGGCACTGACTGGCACTAATAGGCGGCACTGACTGGCACTGTTAGGCGGAACTGATAGGCAGCACTGACTGACACTGTTAGGTGGCACTGATTGGCAGCACTGATAGGTGGCACTGATTGGCATTGATAGGTGGCACTGACGGGTGACACTGAAAGGCAGCTCAGATGGGCACTGATATGTGGCATTGATGTGCACTGGTAGGCACTGATGTGGCACTTATAGGAACTGGCACGAGGCACTGATGAGCACTGACATAAGGCACTGATGGACACTGACAGATGGCACTGCTGGGGCTACACTGATCATCAGGGCACACTGATCATCAGTGCCCTGATGATCAGTGTACATGTCCCCTCCGCAGAAAGCCGATTACCGGCTCTCCTCTCGAGCTGTCAGCGTGACAGCTCGAGAGGAGAGAAATGCCGATAACCGACATTTCCCTGTTTACATGTGATCAGCTGTGATTGGACACAGCTGATCACATGACCGAGCCGACCTCTTTGGCTCTTTCTGTGATCGGTGATCCGCTGTATCCGAGGGACACAGTGGATCGCCACGCTGCGCGCTCCCTGAGCCTCGCATGCGCAGTGAGAATGGGAGGACATCATATGACGTCCTCCCAAAATGAGAGAACCACCTTGCGCCCGTCATATTACTATATGGCGGGCGGGAGGTGGTTAAAGCAAAACTAAAGTTCTACTGTGACAAACTGCGAGCAGGAGGGATCTTTATTGTGGAAGATGTACAGTTAGGTTCATATATATTTGGACACAGGCACAATTTTAGATTTGTTTCAGGTATTTACCAAAACATATTCAAGCTATAGTTTATATAATGACTATGGGCTGAAAGTGCACACTCTCAGGTTTAATTTGAGAATATGTACATCCAAATTGGAGGAAGGGTTTAAGAATTACAGCTCTTAAGAGTAGCCAGCCCCCCTTTTCAAGGGACTAAAAGTAATTGGACAATTGAATCAAAAGCTGTTTCATGGCCAGGTGTGGGCTACTCCTTCATTATTTCTTCATCAATTAAGCAGGTAAAAGGTCTGGTGTTGATTCTAAGTGTGGTATTTGCATTTGGAATCTATTGCTATAAACCCACATCATGCGCTTAAAGGAGCTGTCCATGCAAGTCAAACAGGCCATTGTAAGGCTTCAAAAACAAAACAAATCCATCAGAGAGATGGGCAGCAACATTAGGAGCGGCCAAATTAACAGTTTGGTACATTCTGAGGAAAGAAAAAACGCACTGGTGAGCTCAGCAAAATAAAAAGGCGTGGACGTCCATAGAAGACAACAGTGGTGGATGATCGCAGGATCCTCTCTATGGTAAAGAAAAACCCATTCACAACATCCAGACAAGTGAAGGACACTCTCCAGGAGGTGGGCGTATTATTGTCAAAGTCTACAATCAAGAGAAGACTTCATGAGAGCAAATACAGAGGGTTCACCACAAGGTGCAAAACCATTCATAAGCCTGAAGAATAGAAAGCCAGATTAGACTTTGCCAAAAAACATCTAAAAAAACCAGACCAGTTCTGGAAAAGCATTCTTTGGACGGATGAAACTAAGATGAATCAGTACCAGAATGACGGGAAGAAAATAGAATGGAGAAGGCTTGGAACAGCTCATGATCCAAAGCACACAACGTGATATGTAAAACATGGTGGAGGCAGTGTGATGGCATGGGCATGCATGGCTTCCAGTGTCACTGGGTCATTGGTGTTAATCGATGATGTGACAGAAGACAGAAGCAGCCGGATGAATTCTGCAGTATTTAGAGATATGTCAGCCCAGATTCTGCTAAATGCAGCAAAGATTATTTGGAGGGTGCTTCACAGTAGAGATGGATAATGATCCAAAACACACTGCAAAAGTAACCCAGGAGCTTTTGAAGGAAAAGAAGTGGAATATTCTGCAATAGCCTAGTCAATCACTTGATCTCAACCCAACTGAGCATGCATTTCACTTGCTGAAGGCAAAACTAAAGGCAGAAAGACCCACAAACAAAGAACAACTGAAGACAGCTGCAGTTAGAACCTGGCAAAGCATCAGAAAGGAGGAAACCCAGTCTTTGGTAATGTCCATGGGTTCCAGACTTCATGCAGTCATTGCCAGTAAAGGATTCTCAACAAAATATTAAAAGTGAACATTTTATTTATGATTATATTCATTTGTCCAATTACATTTGAGCCCCTGAAAATGGAGGGACTGTGTATAAAAATGGTTGAAGTTCCTAAAATGTGAACTTGATATTTATGTTCAACCCCTTGAATTAAAGCTGAAAGTCTGCACTTCAAATTCATTTGGATGATTTCATTTTAATTTATTCTGGTGGCATAAAGAGCCAAAAGTATGACAATTGTGCCTGTGTCCAAATATATATGCACCTAACTGTACATGCAATGAGCTGTGCATGCAGCAGTAATGTCATCCCACACTAGCTAATGAAGACAACACTCAGAAGATGCCAGCCACCGGAAGGGACAGGGACCATTGAGGAAAAAAAAAAAAAGTTTAGCTCTGCATCAAAGGAAAGCTATAATTGTACTTTCTTTTTTCAAATTGCAAAACTGTAAGAATGGCCTAGCCATGTATAAAGTGTTAGGCAGCCGATAGATTAGTAATTTTTTTCTTTCAACCAGTGGGATGTACAAAAAAACTGACCCAATTCCCCCATTCACACATTTAAGGTGGATGGGAAGATCATCTCCGCTGAACCATTGTATTCTGACAGCAGGGAGACTTCCCCGCCATCAGAATACATTGATTCGAACTGCTGAGTGGAACAATACCGACAGGCTAGTTGTACAGAAGTCTGTCAGTGGATGAACTTTTGTACAACCAACATGCCCATACATGGTTTGAAATACTGCTGATCCCTGTTGAACCAAGCACATTTCAATCCATGTTTGGCTGGCTTTAGGATTTACTTCTTAAAAACAATTATGGTTCCTCTTAGCCTCATCACACATATTACACTCTGACTGTACAACCTTCTTTAGATATTGCCAAGTATTGTATAGTGCAAGGGTCTGCCTGATTGCATACAAGTTGATTGGTTCTTTACATAGATCCTCATATTGCAAAGTTTTTAGGTAGATCTAAAGTTGACTATACAGAGATTGTAATGCCACTAGCTCTGTCAAGTGACTTTGTCCCCATCAAATGAGAGGTAAGTCAAACACTCGAGGAACCCCTAGCAACATTTGGAGGAAATCTAGGGTACCACAGATCCCTGGTTGAGGTTGAGAACACAATTAAAAAAAAGGGGGGGGGGAGACTTTATGAGGAGATTAAGGGGGAATATGATTAACATGTATAAATACATCAGTGGTTCATATAGTGAACTCAGTGTAGAGTTATTCACTCTGAGGTCATCACAGAGGACAAGGGGGCACTCTTTATGTCTGGAGGAAAAGAAATGTAATCTCCAAACATGGAAAGGTTTCTTCACAGTAAGAGCTGTGAAAATGTGGAATAGACTCCCTCAAGAGTTGGTTATGGCCAGCTCAGTGGATTGCTTTAAAAATAGTCCTGGATGCTTTCCTAGATACACAGAATATAACTGGATACTAACGTTTATAGGTAAAGTTGATCCAGGGAATATCCGATTGCCTCTCAGGGGATCAGGAAGGATATTTTTCCCCAGCAGGTGCAAATTGGATCATGCTTTGCTGGGTATTTTGCCTTCCTCTGGATCAACTATGGGTGTAGGATTATACATTTTTTTTTATGGTTGAACTGTGTGGACTTTTGTCTTTTTTCAGCCAGACTAACTTGCAACTATATAGAGCATTGAGAAATATATATTGTCATATAAAGTTTGTGAAGTTTTATTATCATAGGTTCCCCTCTTGCTATCCTGTTTTTGGGAGGAAAGATTCCTCTTTTCTGTATCCTTTGACTGCTGTGTGTCACAGGCCTCTGTGGTATGGGTCGGACGTACTTATTAAAAAGTATACACATGCAGTACAAATTAAGATTAATATATGACTCCTAGTAGCATAATAGTGTGATGACACCTTTAAGTAGTTGTTTTCATAAAATATATATGTTTATCTTAGTGTAAAGTTTGGTCTACAGCTTAAGCATAGATCAACCATTGATTTCCATCCCAGTCTTGAAGATATGCATGAGCTCTGCTCACTCTTTTTATTCCTATGACTGGTCCATACTCATGGCAGCCCCCAGAGTTCCAAAGGATTACAGCTCCAGCCAAAGAAATGAATGGGCTTGGCAGCGCACATGCGCAGAAGCAGATGGGTGCTTACCAAATCCTAGGCAGACATGTGTCCCTACATAGAAAGCAAACCCCAACAGATCTGCTTTGTTTTCCTGCTTATGTTTATCAGAACGCCCTTTGCACAGAATTTTGTTACAAAGAGTTAACTGGTGGAAGTTGGTAGCTGCGGGAAAAAGATGATACTCAGGGAATAAGTTATTTAACGTAGACTTTTAAAAGACTCAGACTCCTTGGCAGCTTGCTGAGCTGTGATGAGAAGTATCCCTGTGTATTATAGTGCATTATTCAATCACTCTCTAACCATATTACCCTGGCACACGTGGATTGGAGGCCGCCTGGGAATTGTGACCTAGAATTACTGAATGCAGCCCTGCAGGCTCAGCTCTCACACAGACACGCTTCATTAGATATTATGTATTTCCCTTCATCTATGAAAATGTCTCCTTGTACAGCACAGAATTTCACAATGCAGACAAGAAATCTATTTTTTATCAGGCTGTGGAGAGCGGTACAGTTTTATTCCCTTTTTAGGTTAATTTTTAACACTGAACTCCATATTACACAATATAAATTATACCAATTTATAGAGTGATGCTTCTCTGAGCTATCTGCAAAATGTCCGCGCTGTCACCTGGGATTCTGTTCTGATCTCACAACCTATATTTTTATCATCTGTGGTCTACAAACCCACATGATCATGTTTACAACACTTTTGCTTTTCTAGATTTGCACAGCAAATCTCTTAAAGCTGCAATTTAGATATGCACAATTCTGCATGGTTATGTTGCTCTAGCTTGGACCAATGTAAGTATACATGTGCCATTCCTGGTCAATCCCCACAGAAATCACTGTAATTGGCAGCTCTACTACAGTGATCACCGCTAGCTTCCATGTCCCATACTGAGCAGATGCCCCGGTGCCTAGGGAACACAGGAGATCGCTCATCTGGCATAGCCACCATTCAAAGATCACTTTGTATTTTCTCAGTGAATGCAAAGGGTGCTCTGAATGGAGGAGCCGAAGAAGTGGTGATAACTGTCAACATATTTTTTTTTTTAATTCTTTATTTTCATAGAAACGGCATTACCATTCAACAGATCAACAGTGCACAACCATGATATAGCATGCTATACAAAGCGAGATATTCCCATGGTTAATAAAGCTTGTCTCTACAAATACTTCTGTGCTGTAGTAAAATATTATAAAACGTTCTATTGGGTC